TAAGTACATGGTATGTCTCATGTGTGTACTGTATTAATGAACACCTGAATACGTCCCCCAGCCCTCCTAGGGTGGGGCAAATCTACCAAGGGTTTGGAGGCAAAGCTGCTAGAAGGACAAGAGCACTGGAAAGGAAGTCTGTGAGACTCTTATCTGCAATTAATCATCAAAAAGCTCAAAGTGAAAGCCAGACCCCAGTGGTTCACGCCTATAATCCTAGCTACTCAGGAGGTTGAGATCTGAGGGTCACAGTTCAAAGCCAGTTTGGGCAGGGAAGTCTATTAGACTTTTTTTTTTCTTTTTTTTGGTTGGTCGTGGGGCTTGAACTCTGGACTTGGGTGCTGTCCCTGCGCTCTTCAGCTCAAGGCGAGCACTCTACCACTTGAGCCACAGCGCCATTTCCAGTTTTCTAGTGGTTTATTGGAGATAAGAGTCTCACAGACTTTCCTGCCTGGGCTGGCTTTGAACCGCAATCCTCAGATCTTGGCTTCCTGAGTAGCTAGGATGACAGGCGTGAGCCACCGGTGCCCAGCTAACTCTGTCAGACTTTTATCTCCAACTAACCACCAGAAAACCAGAAGTGACACTGTGGCTCAAGTGATAGAGTGCTCACCTTGAGCTGAAGAGCTCAGGGACAGCATCCAGGCCCAGAGTTCAAGCCCTACGACTGATAAGAAAAAAAAAAAAAAGAAATGTACTTTTAACTGACCTATGTAACAATAACCCCTCTGTACCTCACCTTTCTAATAACAGAAAAAAATTATTTTTTTCTTTTGCCAGTCCTGGGCACTGAACTCCGGGCCTGGGCACTGTCCCTAAGCTGCTTTTACTCTAGCACTCTACCACTTGAGCCACAGTGCAACTTCTGCCTTTTTCTGTGTATGTAGCACTGAGGAATGGAACCCAGGGCCTCATGCATGCCAGATGAGCACTCTACCACTGAGCCACCTTACATTCCCAGCCCCTGCCCCCCAATTTTTTTTTAAGTATGACTTTTGGGATTAAAAAAAAAAAGATCAGAATTTTGTAGAGACCAGGAAGTTTGGAATCAAAAGAAATCTAATTCAGACATGGGTCGGTAGTTTCTTAGCAAGGGCAAAGCTGAAAAACCCTGGATACACACCTACACCTAGGTCAGGGTGTGAACCTGCTACACAGAGATTCCCCGTGGTGCTCCTGTCATGTCCCTGGCTCTCGGGATAGGTAGAAAAAACATTTTCGACCAGTTCACCAATTCTCCCAGAGGCCAGCGAGACCCAGGAGAGCAGGAAAGGCATGCGGAGGAACCGGGGCATAGTCACGGCTTGGCAGTACTCACAGGACCTGGCTGAGCTGGTGGAACTGCTCCAGTGCCTGGCGGCACCAGCACTGCTGCTTGTCACTGCCGCATCCTGCACACAGAGGGCTTTGCAGAAGCCGGTAGTAGCGGCGGCGGGCATAGCGGCTGTCCAATTCCCCCTCCAGTTCGGGGTCTGTGCCTCCTTCACCTTTTCTCTTACTCTGCATATAGACTCGTAGGAAGCGCCCGTAGAGGCGCTGGACCATCTCCTGGAAGGTCCTGGGTGTGGAAAAGAATAAGACTCCCCGCAACATGGTGTGGACCTTTTCCCGAAGCCCTTGAGCTCCAGTGCCCATCAGCAAACCCAGGCGAGTCCATTTCTCCAGGAGCTCTAGGCTGCGCAGGTAGGTATCCAGGCGGCTCTCCAGCAGCCCAAACGCGTCCAGGAGCAGCAGAAGGCACTGGGGCTCGTCGACAGTGTTCTCGCGCTGGGAGACGGCATTCCAGAACTCGGGGGAGATGTTGGCCTGCAGGTCGTTCTGCAGCACTTCCACGAACCACTCCTCCAGGATAGAGTGCAGACCGTGGCCCCTCAGGACTTCCACCGCCGCCCGGAGCTCCTCCTCCTTCGGCGGGACCGCGCCGCTGGTCCGGGAGGAGGCCTGGAGTGTGGGGAAATCTGAGGATGCAGGCGCAGGGGTGCGGGCTCGAGGGGAGGGACCGAGTCTAGGGGAAGCTGAGGAAAACCCGCCGCCCCTGGCCGACGCTAAGGAAGGAGGGCTGGGGGAGGGGAGGAGGCCCGGGACGCGGGCGGACCCCCCCGTCCCGCCCCGCCGTTCTTTTCTCAGGCCTCACCAGCCCCAGGACAGCCGGCGGCACCAGCCCGGTGCTCACGGTATTCCAGGCTACCAAGAGCTCCTGGCCAGGCGCGGAGTGGCCGGCCGCGACCGCGGCCGCAGCCGCCACGTCGGCCTCCATCGGCACCCACAGCTCCCGGACCCGCCCAGCGCAGCGCGTGGCAATGACGCAGAGCCGAGCGTGGCGCGCCGTCCTGGAGATGGAGGCTAGTCGAAAAAAGTGAACCCAC